CCTTTGTGAGAGAACATGGTGGAAGCGCCAGACTCACTATATAGACGTCCCCTTGCTTGTGAGGTATATTCACTCATATATATAATATAATATAATATATATTGGGTTCTGTCCCAGTAAACCTGTAGCAGTCGGTGAGAAAGGCCCGTACTAATCATCATCCACTAGGTCCTGGTAATGGGATAGACCCAACATGTATACAATATACTGTATACCTTTTTTCTTCCCAGCTGAGCTGGATCCATAGCCATAGTGCAAAATGTCTTTGGATCGCCGGGGTGCTACTAGAAGCTTTGCTGCGAAAGGATTCTGTCAGCCCAGTCGAGTTGAGGTACTTGGCCTTTGCTCAGTGAGGGTCATGTCGTCCATATGTTTGAGACGGGTGACTTGGAAGAACTCACAGCACTAGGAGTTGGGATGTTTTTTCTTCTTTTAAATAGACTACTAATTGAGTGGACACCCACTCACCCAAAACCACCCATTTGGAACTCCTGGCATGATTGCTTTCTGGTTCATTTCAGAAGATTCGGCAGTTCGTTGAACACACATATAGGAAGTTCAGACATTAGACAGTTCAGAGTCCACAGTGAATCTTTCCCACGACTAGGTAATCCACACACAATATGATTAGCACTTAGGCGGATAGTTGAATCAGTTGAGAATACGGTATCTTTTGGCAGCTCCTCCCTCTGCAGCTCCTCGTCCTTCAGGCTATGTGAACCAATTGGAGCGCGACTTCATCGAGCTAACCCGGGATGTGAATGGCTGGCAGGAGCGAGCGACGCTGCATGGACCAGTACAGGATGATCTGCAACTTGGATGGCCCTATTCGACTAGCAAGTGTCCGTTGCTGTTTGCACGCGGTTTCGGGGATTCCTCGTCCAATTTGGGTTAAAATTCCAACCAAGAGATTCAACTGCTAAGAAACTATTGAACCCTACAGGAACAAACAAATTATTCGCATTTATTCGATATTTGTGTGCGGCTCACTATACATCTTTTGGACCTCAACCTACATCCATGAATCCATGTAATGCCTCAACAAAATGATATCCCAAGAGCCCTCGGCCGAGAGGACCACCTCGCTGATCGCTGCAGAGGTACATGGCGGAGCTCTTGAAATCCGCAGAGAAGATCCACCTCTTGAAGATTGATGTCGACGACCGACCCAGCGACCCGTCGGACAAGACCGAAAGCCCGACCCAGACACAGGAAGACGGGAAGACGGGAGGACGGGTTGGAGCTGGGGGTGGTTTCGAGTCTGGGTGATCCAAGAGAGGTTACATAAGTGACCTGAAACTAGAACCGTAACCCGGGGTACCCAAACTGGGATAGTCTATAGTACTAGTTCGGGTTCTTCAACCTCTCAAAGTCAGGACCTGACTTCTGGTGTTTTTTGTGGTGGTCAGGAGTCGTGGAGTGATGAGGAGCCAGGTCTCGGGTCTCCATCCCTTTCGGTCTACGAGAACGCCAGCGGAAGACCACGGAACACCGGCCCTGGTGCACCAAGGCAAGCAGAGCCAATCGCTCCAGGACTATGGTGTGGCCACTTTTTAATTTTGGGGGGTAGAGAACATTTGCTCCCCTTCTGGCTACAACATCCAAATTACTGACTTGGTTAAAAATCACACTCTGCCCTGCACCTCTGTGACTAAGGCTACGAAGCTGTCTTTGCTGGAGTGGCTCCGGTGCTCAACAAGACGGACGACAGCTGCTGGCTCACTTCTGCGGTTGGTTGAGGGAGTGGGACAAGACATTACACAACCCCTTACTGATGGGACCCACTTTAAAGGGATGAACGATACAGGATTGAAATGACGGGTGGTTCCATTGGAACAAGGGATTGAACCCTCGAAATTCCCAAAGTGATACACCAATGGTCACCCTGACTGCCAAACAGCTCAGCTAGAGACAGTCACATGATCCATTCAGTGTGGCAGTCAGCATCACTGAGCTAAAGTCATTGAACCCCCTGGTTTAAAGACACATGACTCACATGACTTTCTCACAATCCTCTGCAGTTTGTGGCTTCACTCGTGTAACGAGTCTATGAGAGAGAGAGAGAGAGAGGGAGGGAGTAGCTCCACCAAAAAAGGTCCGAGATGGCAGAGAACCAGGTCTCAAGAATCCTTGTCAAGGCCATCGAGAACATCCTCACTGGCTTTAAGTTCACAATCATAATCATCATATTCATATTCCGATTCCCATACCTTTAATGACCCCCGCCCAACCACCAGGGCGGATTGACTAAGATAGCCATCTTCATTTCATCTCATTGGTAGGAGTAATCATGGCACAGATCTTCCATGTGAGACGTGTCCCTGTTCTTTATCAGGGCCCTTCAGGTCAACTCCCAGGATCTTCTCGTGGTGGTTACGACCCTTGGGTGTCATCCGTCGATGTCCTCGTCGGCAGGAGATCCTTCAGATCGAGATGATCGAAGAAGAGATCGGCCGCGACGGCATGCTTTGGATCATGGAGCCGGGGATTGTCGGCTTTTGCGGCGTTCGGAGCGGGTTTTTTCGTTGGTGGTTTGATCTGGTCGGAAAGCAACTTCAGACCGGAGACCTGACATGTTTTCTTTTCGACATCTTTTGCTCCCAAGGTTCTTTCAAGATTTTTCAAGATCTCAAATTTCAGGAGAGATCCTTGAATGCAAGTTCTTTCCACTTCCTCTGGAATTTGAACGTGTTTTTTCCTTTGAATGGCAGTTCATTCAACATCATCCTATCGAGTGTGTTTTCATTCTTTTGCCCCTTCCAGGCCCAACTCCACTTGGCTCTGGCAGTGGTCTTTCAACATCCTTCCAGTCAGTCAGGAGACCTTCCACTCTTTCGGCTTCGACTTCTATGGCCTGGAGGATCTGGAGACCTTTCCACGGTACCAGCACGACAGCCTGGGCCGCGCCTGTGAGCACGGCGACGTGGAGGGCCGCCATCACTCGGCAGCGGTGGAAGAGCCCTGGACGCGGGGAACAACACGCGGGCCGCGGGCCGCGGGCCGCGGTGTGGCGTGGGGTGCGGGGTGGGAGAGGGTGCTGAGGAGTTGGTTTCAACAGAGAACCGTAGCAAACAGCCAACAGGGATTCAAATCTTTTGAAGTGACTTGGAGTCACAACACGGAGTCTATGGTGCATTAAGAGGCACGCAGTTCTTTTTCTGCACGGATCCTTTTGTGAACTGTGTGCAGTGGCTGTCCATGAGATGGATGATTGTGTGCAGTGGCTGGTGCAGTAGCGGCACTGATGCAGGCATGATGCAGGTCATTGTTTCACCTCCATGAATACCGCGGAACCCCGCGGATCCCCGCGGGTGGACTGGTTTTACTCTGCGGGCTTCATGTCACGGTGGTTGCATAGGGACTTGGAGACTTGGGCGTTGGAGGGACCAAACAGTGGAGGAATTGGTGAGTTTCAGAGGTGAGTGGCTTGGCACCCCAGCACCCCAAAGCTGTCTTAGACGGAGGGAGGGGGTCCATTCTTGTCAACCATGCCAGACGTTGGGAGATTGTGCCATCTACTGTGAAACCACTGTAGTTAAAAGGAAATGCCCAACATGCTTGACTGACGTGCCGGTGGGTTGAGTGAGGCGGCCGATGGACTCCCCATCTTGCTTTCTGCATCCGTCATTGGTCTGAGGATGGGACGATGCCATATGAATATGGCGCGGATGGTCCCAAGCACTTGCGGATGTTTCCCATTTGCGCCTCGGCCTGGCTGGTGAGGGGACCGAAGGTGGCAAAACGATGGGCCTCATTATTCGTGAGCATCTGTGGGCCTCAACAATATTGGGCAAACAATTTCAATACAGTTCTTGGAAAGGATGTACTTTTTCCCTCCATTTGGGGATCTCTATAAGAACATGTTGAGATAGATCCCTGACCAAGTTTGCCCGAAATCCTTTCCGGCGAAAATGGATAAGGGAATTCTCGAGTCCGACAATCCGGCCCATATTGCATATCTATGGCATAGTATGGTCCATATACTTTAGATATCTTTAGATTATAGTTTAGTATCTTTTAGACCTCACTCGAGTCCGACACAGCTGAAAGCAATGAATTCAACGCAAGCCCCTAGGCCAGTGTGGTGCAAAGGTCGTGGGAGGAGGGCGCGGAAACAAAGATCCATTGAAATGCCCCTTGGCGAGAGCTCGCTTAGCGCGTACAGGGAGGCTTAAAGCAACGTGGCAGGGATTCTGGGATTCAGCTGAGAGTTTCTATTCAGTAAAGCTCCCACATCTGGAGGGCGGGAGGTGTTTTCCTTTTCATGTCATGTATCCTTTTGCCACATGTGTTGGTTTTGCAAGAGGATGGATCGTTACATAATATGTTGGACCCTTGAGCCCTTGAACATTCGAGTTCACCACAGGATGTGCATCCGAGTCTAGGGAGTTGGACGCATGAGTGACTCAGACGCATGTGTCAGACGCATGGAACTGGGAAAGCTGGAGGTTCACAGTCGATGTTTTCCAAGTTTTGAGACACATCAAGCGCATCAAGCGCATCCACGACCAAAGAATCGTATCAACGCTTTTCCTTTTTCAAAGTGGGATGCATTCTAGCTCCGTTCAGAATCTCAGAATTCATTCATGATGCCAGATGTTTTTTTGTGGGTGGTTCTGCTGGTCCTTGGATCCTCACGTTGGAGCCCTTCCAGCCCAGGCCGTGCGCAATTTGCCTTCGTGCGCCGCGCGGGGCATGTGGCGCGGCCACGCGTGCAGGAGCGCTTCGGCTCCTGCCAGACACTCTGCGGCGCTGCAGAGGAGCTGTGAAAAGAGCCGCGGACCGCGGGACTTGGTGCCTTTGGGGGCTTTTGTTGGAAGTCAGGGAGGTACACATTTAGCATGATATACTATCCAGTGGAACTGGGAGTAGTGATTGAGGTGAAACAACATAATAGTATATTACAGATCTTACAGATCTGTTCTGAGTGAATATCCATTTCCATACAGAACTTGCTGGGATCCTGCATTCCTTTTCGGAGGAATACCTGCAGCACCAAGGCCGTGGTGCCCTTGGGGAGAAGGAGCAGAAGCTCAAAGCCGTGCGTGCGGCCCGGAAACTCAAGGTGAGGAGAATACTCTTGGATTAGCATGTCAGATGTCATATATGGATTGTTCAGCCCATGTCACAGGATGTCATATTGTCATATGTTACTAACTGTTACTATTTATAACTATGTTATTAGTCTTAGTGTATATTTGGTGATATTCCAAACTATTCTAAACTGTATGAATCGGATTCTTTAGGCCTCTTCCACCAACTGATCCGCTGCCCTTCGTTTCTTCGCAGCCCGCTCACGGTCGGTCGCCCCGAGGCACGGAGACCCCGCTCACGGTCGCCCAGCCAAGACGGCAGGCCGCGGCTGGGTGGGTGGGGCAGGGAGCGAAGCCGAAGCGGTGCCGTGGATGATCGTGGGTGTGGGGAAGCGCGGAAGCGTGGGTAGTGGGACAGAAGGAGCCGGAGGGAATAGGCCATCGCACACAACCCAGTGGTTTGCAGGGTGAGTTTGAAGGCGGGGTAGATGTGTTTGATCGTTTTTTGTTGCGGATGGAGGTGAATTTACCTGTTGGTCAATTGGTTTTGGAGTTGGTCAGAGAACGAGGATAACATTTTTATACAGGTGTTTTCCTTTGCAGGCTGACTTAGGAGATTCTGTGGCAAGTTGTTTCTGGGGCAAAGCCCATAGATCCGCATAGATCCTTTCGGTACACCTCTCTGCAAGCCAAGATGAGTGCTGGCTGAAAAGCGACTTTGACTTTTGCAAAGAGGGATGAGATTGGCTCCGAGCATCAACCAACTACAGGATCCGTATTTATTTGGGGGGTTGAGGAGTTCAGGGGCCTGGTCACGTTGTGTGTTTTTTTTCTACTAACGCTAATATCCTGCTATAGCTAGCGGGGTAGCGGCCGCGGGCGCTGCAAGATGCTCGACTTCAGATCGGGCTTTACACCAAGTGGCAAAAGCCTGACAACGCCCAAGGCGTGACCATGCCTGGGAAGCCAAACCCGTGGGGGAACGAGAATAACCCTAAACCCGAAACCCACTTGACGTCCAATAGGCCCTAATACCCTAATACCCTAAACCCTCACTAAATCCTGAACCCTATAGGCCCTAAACCCTAATACCCTAATACCCTAAACCCTCACGAAATCCTGACGTCCTTGGGCTACATCATCCATTTTTGGACCGCCGCTCAATGTCTTTCGCCGACCCACACCTGGCCGCCCTTTGGCTCAGCTGCCCGCCCTTTAGGCTCGGCCGGCGATCGAAGGGCTTGAGATGCCCCAGAGAATTCATCAGACTGACATAGACTGACGTATACATACATAATTATACTCATAATTATATATATAGAATCATAATACTATTTTAATATAGTACGTAATTTCAATGTAGGTAGAAATAAGATGTCATACGTGGAGTGTTTGACATGGAATTTGGGGTGTTCTGTTCAGCTTTCAGCTTTCAGAGCCTTCTTCTTTGATTGCCCTTCGGCCATTCTGAAGGGTCAGTAGAAATCCCAAGAGATCAAAAGGGATTGTTCCATGTAAGTAGGAGTTGTTTGCAGTAGTTCCATTTGAGTGTCACTCGAGACACTTTGGAAATCGCCTCTTTCAACAGGTCTTTGAGAAAACTCATAGGGATAAGACTTAGCTCAAGCCCCGTAGCCAAAACCGTAATAACCGATTTCTCTCAGCAGGCTTTTGCCTTTCTTCGCTCCACGTGATGGCCCCAAAAGCGAAGGTCAAGGCCAAAGAAAATCGGAAGGCCAAGGCCAAGGCCCTGGCGGCCGCCCCACCGGCTGCGGCAGCGGGTGTCTTGCGGCAATTGGACCTCGTGAGTGGCCGGGGGTGGGGTGGGGAAATTGGAACCTCATTGATGTTTTAAGGTTCTTAGTGTGGGATCCCAATCACTGATTGTTGGGAAACTATCTCTGATTGTTTAGCAAAATTGGGTTTGCTATTTGCCCTGTTGTTCTTGTCGTGTTCTACAGTTCTGATGGGTTGCATTTTTCGCTTTTGATCTCCTTGCCAGAAACACTGCAATGATGTGTAGCAGGTGTTCTTTTCTCCCAGAAATGGCCACATGGGCACAGGCTTCATGATAGTTGAAATCACCATGAAACAGGATGACACGAAGCAGGACAGTGGACAACAGTGGATCACCAGCACTTGGACATCACCATGTTGAAATCCAGTTCATGGGCACAGGCGTCTGGTCTCGGCACGGTCCTTTGACTTCGGATGAAATTCGATGACGCAAGCAGGTGGTGTTCACTCCTCAAATCGTGGAGTCCGGATCCGTGGATCAGTGGGGTTCCTCGCTCTGTCTGGTCACGGCTTCCGCCCCTGGGGGCGAACCACAGAGCGATTCGCTGGATGGGACGAAGGAGTCGTTTCAGTGCCATTCTGTGGCATGAAAGAAGGCCTAAGGAGGACGTTGAAGGGCATGTCCAAAGGGTTGGCATTGGACACCTGAGAATGAACGGTCACACCTGAAAGTTTGGTCGAGTGAGCGAAATGCTTGGGACACCGATCCGTCTTCCAAGTGCGTGTGCGCATGCGTGTGTGTATGCATGCAAGTGGCTGAGGTGGCTTGCCAGAGGCGCTGCGCTTGCGTTTGCCCTTTATGGCACTGGCCGGCAAGCTGCAAGGCCACATGATCCACCAGGCCTGTTGGAAAACATCTTCGAGCCACAGCCCAAACCTCTCGTTGCAAGAAGGAATGTCTAGTTGCAAGTGATACTTTTCCACTTTACCAGTGATACTTTGTGCTACTTGTGGCTATTTGATCAATTGATGTGCCAGAGGGAAAGGGTGAGCACTCCTAAGATCCAGCAATCAGGTGTTTTGTCCCGCTTGGTTTAGTAACTGGTTGCTGGCTGGGCCTGCCTCTTTTCTCACCAGGTTTCAAGGTCTAGCACGGGAATGATGAGTGGATGATGTGGACGGAAGAGTTGAGGAAGAATCATCAATTTGTCAATGATGATACAATATAATGATGTAAGTTTAGATGGGATCGGAATGGATGGATCTATAGTAAATGAACTCGACACCTTGATACGAACAGGCCTCAAGTTTCGGGGGACGCTTCTACTTAGAGCTTCTGCTTAGGCATGGATTTTGCCTTGACCCTAAGGTTCAGTGGCAGGGATCGCTAGCGTTTTGACCCTCACAACGCTCGGGTGTTGATAAGTTTTGGACCCTTCACCAAGATGTAGCAGTTGCTTCGGGTTCAGGGTCACCTGTAGAGCGGACCCACGAGGGAGAATCCTCGGAGAGCCCACCCATATGGGAGGGTCCTTAAGCCACGCAGTGACGACCAACCAATCATGGCGTGAGACCGAAATGACGTAGACCGAGCGCGTGGAGCTTTCGAGACCCCAACAGTAAGAGGTTTTGGACTGTTTGAGGGATCTATAAGGATGGATTACATTTGGCGACTCTCCGGCTGAAAAAAACGCCTCGGTGGGCGTGAGTGTGCGAAAACTCAGTTCTTTTATATATTTTTATAATGCCTGTCCTTTCCTTGTGTCGCATCCGCAGGTGAAGGAGATTCAATCCTTGGTTTCAGCTGCTCGGCGCGTTCGGCGCATCATCCTCGGTTCCTCCTCGTTCCGCACGCGCCGCGCGGTCTTCGCTGTCTTTCTCATCGTCGTTCATCGTTCGAAACTATTTTTGTTCCGGATTCTTGGGCCGTTTTCAGCTCCAAGTCCTTGAAATACCGTTCCCGGGTCACCGAGACATGGACACGTGTATCGCGAGGATTCCGGGCTGGCCAATCCTTGTTCTACAGTTGGAAGCGGCTAGGTCTAGGTCTGATTGGCTGCAACAACTTCAACTTGCACAGAACAAAGACATCCTGCCCCAGTTAAAGCAAAAAAGGAGCGAGACACCTCATAGAAGGACTGCCCCATCAATCCACGGTCACCAGCGTGTTCACCAGCGTGCACAACCAGGAAGGTGTCCCTGCTCCTCAGCCCTTGATCTTTGGTGCTGCTCCGCCGCGGCCAGCACCGCTGCCTCTGGAGCAGCAACGAGAGAGGACGCAGAATGCAGCGACCTGGATCAGTTGCGGAAAGGGATGAGAAGCAAGAACTGCATCAAAATACTCTCAAAAGGCACAGTACTGGACTCGACTGCCAGGAACCTTGTTCTTACTCTGGGCACACGCTTTCAAGTTGTTGTTGGGGGCTTGGATCGGCGAATGGAAGAGGCTGGAGATGGTAAAACCAATCCCTGACACTCCACTTACAATTGGGCTGCCGGCCCGAACTCAAGGAATGAGACAATCCCCCCGGCCTGAGCCAAAAACTCGTCCAAGAGTGCGGGAGCGACGGTGTTATACCCAGTCGCGCCGGGAGACCTTGAAGCGACCCGCTGCGGGGGGAGTTTCGATCACTTTTGGAGGGCTTCTTCTGTGCTCGGGAAGAATCTAGGAATCCCGTTTCAACCGCAGCCTGGCAGCTTGTGCTACGAGGTGAACAAGGCTCTGGAGCTGGTCCAGGGCTGGCATCAACGCGAATGCTTGTTCCTGGGCTGTGGAGACGTGACAGAGCCCGGTTGTTCAGCTTCAAGACTAGTCCATGTTGGCTGATTTTGCGTATTTTTTTTCGCGTGTGGGAGCAGTGACTCAGGATGAACAAACAGCGGTGTTATGTTGGAGGATGTTGGAGGAAGAGTTGTGAATTCCAGAACTGCTCTTCACTGCGCATAACGTTGCGGGTCAAGCATGACCCGCTTATTGCAGGTGAAGACCCAAAAGAAAGACGGGGGGCAGTTTGGGAGATCTTTTCACCTGCGTATCAATTTCATTCCATTTCTATTTGGGAATGGTTATACGGTTAATTATCCCAATTGGCTGCTGTTCTCTTTTGCACAGGGTTTGAGCCGGTGGTCACCTGTGACATAAGAAGTTGGATGAACATGGATGAACTAGCACTGCTCCAAACCTCACCCAACCTCGATCAACCAGCTCGTAGAGGAGCCGGGCTGTGGGCTTTTGATAGCAAACAGACATGGTTAGGGCTTCCCTGTTGGCCGTTTATTCGAGTGTTTTAATCGCTCCCATTTTGGGTGTTTTGTTCTTCCCGATATTCGGTGTTTTTTTCTTTTTCTGTTCACGGTTTTTGGTTGGGGTGTGCACAAGAGATTGGTCGTTGTTATTGTTGTTGTGGTTGTTGTGGTTGGTCGTTGTTGTGGTTGGTCGTTGTCGTCGTCATCGTTGTGGTTTTTGTTGAACCCCATTTGTCGCTTCGCACATTGGCGATACTTGACGGAGCTCGGCCGGCGCGGCTGCCGCAAGAAGAGCTTCATGGATGGCCGGAAGCCCCCCAAAAGGCCCCCCCGGCAGACGGACGGGAGCCCAATGAACATGCTTTTTGTTTACTTTGTTTTTGTCAACGGGTTAACCATGCGTTCAGGTTCAGGAGCAAACTGGGCAAAACCCTAAGGGTGTTCAAACAACACAATGGCACAACCGTTCAAAATACCCCCCAAAAAACACAGCTGAACACGCACGTTTGGTGTCAGGTCGTTGGGTTGTCTGCAGCCCTTGAGGTCCCCATGTCCCTACGCCTTAGGACCACTCGGATGGCTTGATGGTCCGATGTCACCGTTCGCGGGTCTGGAGCTCTTCATCCTCAAGTACCAAAAAACAACACAACCACGCCATCAAACACGCGCGCAAACACACGCACACATGTTTTCACAGGTTCTGGGCAGGTGAGAAAGTAAGCTTTGGTGCCCGGACAGCTCGGACCGGTTCAGCTCGGACCTCGGTTCAGCTTCCTCAGGCTGCAGTGCTTGCGTTCCGTGGAACCCCTGGACAGCTTCGCCGCCACCTGGCACGAGCTGCGCCGCAGCGCCCTGCAGCGCTGCGACGAGACCAGAGCCCGCTTGGCGGAGGTCTCCGGTGACTGGGGTTGTGACGAGGGGGCCGGGTCTGCTTCCACTAGTCGGTCGCAATGTGGGCGATCTGCTGCGAGATGGTGCTGGTGATTGTGTTTAGATTAAAAAAACACTGTCCATGGGCGTTATGCAGGCCTTCCCTAAGAACATATCGTTGAATTCATGCAGGCCTTCCCCATGGGGTGCCTTTTCAAGTTATCAAGCTGTTCGTGCGTTCAGTCCACACCGAACACATACACAACCGAAGATGATTTGCAATCTCTTATCCTTGACTCACTAAAATGCGGGCCGGCAGACAACTGAAACTTGGAAGTCAAAGTCTGCTGTGGCTTCGAGAGGCAGTTGGTCAAAACGTACAGTGCTCATTCTTCAGTTCCATTTAAATTGCTGCTATAGTTTCAATTTTGGCTTTCATGAAAAGGATCAAACTGCATGTGTTCTTGGCCTGGCGGCTGCTTGCTATGGCACGCGGAGCTCGCACATGTCTTCTTCGGCGTGCGACGTCTGGGGGACTCCGCAAGCAAGGCGTCAGCCCCCCTTCGCCATCCACGGCATCAACTCCAGCAGTTGGAGTGCACTCAGCTTAGACCTGGTGTTCTGACCTTCTCACCTGACCTCCATGAATTGGTTCTTTTTCTGGTGCTGAGTGCTGGCAACTCCAAAAAAACACCACCTTCTGGCCATTCAGGTGACCACGCGGTGTTACTCGAGTTCATCGGCGGCGGCTACGGTGCCAATGTGGCGGCCGCCTGGGTGATGCCGCAGGCGACCCGCGGGTCCGACCCGAATCCGAACGGGTCAAAGGATCCGACTCGCATCCTCGGGTCAGGGGTCTTGGGTTTCTCACCAATCCCGGTTTTCAGAGAGCAGGAAAGGGCTACTTGGAGAGTTTGGGATAAGAATGGATAAGTTCAAAACGGGGAAATCATTGCAAAACGGTCATGTTTGGTGGGAACAACCATTCAGACGGTGCCCTAGCTTGTTGAGAAAAGCCCCATGTAGCGGTAATTTCCAGAACAAGGCTGGTTGGGTTTCATACGATCATCATTCTTTGCGAGTCGCACCAGTTTCAGTTTGTTGTTTTCTTCACACTCGGCCGCCCATGGAGTTAGCGCTTGCCAGGAGGATTGGAATGCCTTCAAGGACTACGTCCGGCAGAAACCCGCGGAGTCCATTTCGAACGAGAGCCCCGTCATGCCAGTGGATGTGTGTGAGAATGCCCAGGGTGGGTGAGCAAGTATGGACACCCAATGGGATTTGTCCTATAGGATTTCAAAGTTTCACCCACAGCTCATGACATTTAACTTGCATTTCTCTATGTTCTTTTTGCGCGTGCACTCTATTGGACGTCCACACCTGGCAAAAATCACAGACTCCTGTCTGAATTGGTCTGGACTATCCAGTCCTACGACCAGCTGGGAGGTACTCCAGGTATTCAGTTCTTCCTCCAGGTCCAGTTCATCCGGATCTCAGGTCCCTCCCGGTCCGCGGCGCTTCGCCACGGGCTCCGGACCTCGTCCTCTTAGGAGTCTCGGAGGGCGGACTTCGGACGAGTGCTGCGCCTCGGCGGGGTCGGTGGAAGGAGCGGAGATGGGGCAGGATCGGAGTAGATCAAAGTCATGGAGCGACATGGAGCCAACATAGAAAGGTTGAGCAAGACGTTTTAAAGAAGTAGAGTGAAGCACCTATTACTATATGATACTATATGAAGAGATGATCATGAATCATGACAGTGTTTTTGTGTGACACGTTAGGAGATCTTCTGACATTTGGTTGCTCGTGTCATGTAAATGTATGACATTTGATGACTGATGGCCCTCCAAAAAAGAAGAACATGTGACTGGTTGCCTATGTTGATACTCAGTGCTGTGGGCCCAAGGTTTGCAGAAACAGTTCTCTCAAAGAAAGCGTGGATATTTCCTTACTGTAGATGGATGATCTTTGAGGGTCACACTGTAAGCGAGGTTGCAACCCTAAAGAGTTCACCCATGTTCACCATATTTAGGTTCACCATATGAGGATTTGATCAAGATCTATGGTGTGGGTCGGCCCTCCACTCAGTTCCTCTAGAGTGTGGACCCAGAGAATCTGCTGGGACCATGTCGTGATTTTGGAGACTCTTTCCGCCTTCTGCCGAATGAATTCGACCTTGAAAAGATTTGACAGCCACCACCACCTGAGTTGAATTCAACCTGAGTTGACAAAGACCCTGAGTTGACAGCTGATTTGACAGCCACAACCAGCACCACCCCGAATCAATTCGACCTGAGTTGACAGCCACTACCTGATGAGCTTCGTCCAAGAGTCCACTGACGCGCTACGCGTGAATGGCTTCCTGGCGGCCTTCCCCGATGGCGCTTTCGGCACGGAGGACCTATTCTATGCTGCTGGAGCCGCAAAAGAAGGGCCAAACGTGTGACACGCGGGGTGGAGTGGTTCTGGAGTGGAAAATGGCTACCCTTATTTTCCAGGGAAATGGCTTGGGAGTCAGTTCCTGGGTGGGACTTGCGAAGGGAAATGGCTTGGAAGAGTTGTGCGACGGCATGCCGATGTGCCATGATGATTTGTTCGGTGAATCTTTTGAATCCTGCTACACAAAGTGTACAAGGAGTCACATGTCGGGGTGGTGTGGCTCGTCCCATCCAGTGAGTGGATGTTCTGGGCACTCCTCCCCTCCATGGATAGCACCCCTTTGAAACTGCTGATATGCGGCGTGTGTAGTAGTTCATTACCCTCCCTCCAACTGGAAGTGGAGTTCACCCCCTTCTTGGTATCCGGAACATCGTCTTCCTTTCGGGGTCAGAACGACCACATCACCATGAGGACGTTTTTTAGGGCGGAGTACCTTCTCAATCAACCGGGATCAACATTCGAAGCCCGGGCATTGCCACCAGAACATTCTACACCCAGCCCCAGACACGACTAATGGGACTGCCAGTCCGGACTGCCGCCCCAGCCAGACCCCCAGTCAACCACCCCTGGCCGTTTCTCGGCAGTCCGGACTGGCAGTCCCATTAGTCGTGTTTGGGTAATGGCATGGCAAGCAGGATGTGGCCAAGGGAACTATAGGCTATCCTTTGGCTCCCCCACTATAGTCCTATAGGGTCCTTCAACCTCTGTTGGTGTGGGTGTGGGTGTGAACTTCATCCGGAAGACCCCGCCTTTCGTCATCTCGCCCCGATGGCCCTGACGGCATCGATGTTGGTCGGGTCCGTTTGTTTCGAGCTACACCGGTCTGTCAGGGAGACCCCATCCTAGACACGACCTGTCTGAGACTGGACCTACTGGCACATGGGGGTCGCTGAGTTTAGGGGTCAATGTATGCGTGGTATGTTGTTCCAGTCCCATGAGAGTCTTAAGTGGAGTGGGCATGGGCATGAAGTAACATGGCCCTTCACCAGTCAACTCTTGAAGAACACTGTTTCGAGGTATTTGCTTTGCTACGACGGTATTTGGCTTACTACAGCAGTTTGGGTAGTCTTATCTTCAAGCGGAGTTAGTGCCTCCGCCTCCTGGTTCGATCGGGTTCCAAATGGGTTTTTGTGATGAGATGTCGTGCTACGAAATGAGACGTCCTGCGCTTCTGCCACGATTTAATCTTCAGGTGCTGCAATCACTTACCACATGATGGGCCTGCTGGCAGAGACAAGTCTTTCCGCGGCTTGCATTTGGTGATGTGTTCTGCTGTAATCATGCGGCAGAGAAACAAAGGCCACATGCAGGAGACAGCAGCGGTGTGCAGGGATATGCAAGTGATGCCAGTGTGGAGAAGGCCTCAGACCCTCTTATTTTCCGGAGGTGCGTGCTTGGCATGCAAAAATGCCATCAGAGTTGGATAGAATCAAACATATTTGGACATTGAAGTTGGTTATGACGTGGGGATTCGTTACGAAATGGTCTCTTACATGTGGGTGTTCCAGGAATCTGTCAAGAAAGGTGGAGCACACACCCCAGGTCAAGCCCTTGTACACCCCAGCTTTAGGGCATGGAACCAGGAAAAGTGGTTCTTTGCTTCCAGGTTTGTGGTCATCGTTTGTGGATGTTGGAATTCATTATGGCTTGGTTGTCACCATTGGCCATTAGGTTTCTGGATTGTTTTTGAACAAATGTGGGCCATGCCCTGGTTTTGCTTAAGGCATTGGTTAAATCCACCTACCGTGAATATGTCTTTCCAGGTTCCTGGGATCCACAAATCCCAGATGTGAATGACTAGTGAACACAAAAGTTCCATAGTCTAAATCCTCTTTACTTTGGGGTGGTTCATGGGTGTCCCCCCTATAAATCTTATAATCACTTCATTCTGGAGCTATGATTAGATGTTCCTTAAGCAAATCGACCAAGATCAGCTTCCGAACCATCTGGATGACCAGCCCAACCCGGCAGCGCGTTCTTTCGGAGGCAAAAGGATGGAAGCCCAGAGGAGCGGCGTGGAGACCGGATCCCGCCGTTTTGATCGGGGAACACCGCATGGAGCGTTGATCCATTGCTTGGACAACTTATTCTACAGATGCGATCATGGCCTGGAGATGCCACACCATTCTGGTGGGGGTGGATTGAAAACAACATCAACAGTACTGTACAGTGTTTGTTATTGTTCTTTTGGGAGGGAGATTTGGTTCTCCTTTGACATGAAACTAGGAAGGACCCGCCACCAGAACGAAACTTGCCTAGGGGAAAACACAGGAAGAAACAACATGCGAATTGAAAGCATGGTAATACACACCCACGCAGCCATGTGTTTGGGACATGATTTGCTGAAAGAGATACTTCCAGGAGTCACAAAGGGGTGGTGTTTAGTCCACCCCTTTGTGACTGCTGGTGTACATGTTTTGTGAGTTTTGACAAAGGTCATTTGAGCCCAAGGACAACGAAACGTTATAATTACGTATACTTACCATGAGTTTTAAGAGATGAGAGTGAGGACACACCTTTCCTTTTCTCCCAGTTTGTGCATGTGGCATCTTCTTCCAAGCACATCCAACAAACGACTACCTCTACTGGAGGCTCTTTTCCATGCAGTACATTTGTGTTGGGGTTTGGGGGTGATTTTGTCTATTTATCGTTTCAGTTTGTTTCCACGCTTTAGACTCGGCTAGGCTTTTTCAGGGATCAGCGTGATCCCGCCCGCCCAACATCGTGTGCTTGGGCAGGTTGTGAGCACTGAACATATCTGAACAAACCTCCATCATCCTCCATCATTCCAATCACTTCGAGACCAGCACCTCCTCCTCCTCCTCCTTCTCCTCCTCCTCCTCCATGACATGCAGGACAAGAATCCATCAACTCAGTGGTGTACGGAACTGGATCCCAACGTGTCCGGACTCCTTCCGATCTCGGTTCGGTTCGCTCGGTCCCCGCGTGTCCAGGAGAAGCCCCCGGACCTGGGGCTCACCGACGCAGCGGCGGTCGGCAAGGAGGTCGGACGGAGATGGGATCGAAAGGAAGAGAAGGATCCAAAGATTCACAGACCTTCTTGGTCTGTCGTACCTGAGAAGGATCGATCCTGCCCAGGCAGAAGGATAGGGACCTGCCCGGGAGACGCATCAAAAAAGAAATATAAATGCATCAATAAAAAAATATAAATGCATCAAGAAAAAAATAAAAATGCATCAATAAAAAAATAAAGAAAAGAAACAAAGAAAGGCAAGAAGGCAAGGAAGGAAGGAAGGAAGGAAGGAAGGAAGGTACGAAGCCAGGACGGAAGGAAGGAAGGAAGGAAGCAAGGAAGCAAGGAAGGATGGATGGAAGGAAGAAAGGCAGCAAGGCAGGAAGGAAGGTTCGCTTTCGGTGGCTCTTGGGTTTTGGTGGCTTTTGCCTTTGGTTTTCGATGGCTTTTGTAGGTGGCCCGCTTGCGGAGCTGTGCTGCCTGCAATGGCAAGTGTTGTCATGTATTCTATGTTAATGCATTGTTTGATGCATCTATGTATTCTATGTTAATGCATTTTTTGATGCATCTCCCAAAAAACACACACAACAACAAGGACCACTTTTGAACTCCTGTTCTATCCCCCATTTGGCCAGCTACTCAGCGAGCCAGCTTACGGACCTGTGCTGCCTGCAGTGGCCAGGAAAGCTGCAAGTTGACTCACCCTTTGTTGCGCCACCCGAGGGTAAAATTTGGAGAAGAATGTTGCCACTTCAACTTGACTCACCCTTTTGCGCACAGGGTAAAATTATGAGAAGGAAGTGGTCACTCCAACTTGACTCATCCTTTTGTGGCCAATGCGGGGTAAAATTTAGAGAGGGAAGCGGCCATGCCGAGTTGACCCACCCTTTTGTGGGCCACGCAGGGGTAAAATTGAGAGAAGGATGTTGCCATTTCAACTTGACTCACCCTTTTGTGGGCCATGCGGGGGTAAAATTTAGAGAAGGATGTTGCCCTTCCAAGTTGACTCACCCTTTGGTGAGCCACCCGAGGGTAAAATTGTGAAAAGAAGTTGCCATTTCAACTTGACTCACCCTTTTGTGGGCAGGGTAAAGTTTAGAAAAGGAAGTGGTCATTCCAAGTTGACTCACCCTTTGGTGAGCCACTGGAGGGTAAAATTTAGAGAGGGAAGTGGCCATGCCAAGTTGACTCACCCTTTTGTGGGCCATGCAGGGGCAAAATTTAGAGAAAGATGTTGCCACTTCAACTTGACTCACCCTTTTGTGGGCCATGCAGGGGGATCAATTTAGAGAAGAATGTTGCCCTTCCAAGTTGACTCACCCTTTGGTGAGCCACCCGAGGGTAGAGTTTAGAGAAGGATGTTGCCATTTCAACTTGACTCACCCTTCTGTGGGCAACGCAGGGGTAAATTTTAGAGAAGGAAGTGCTCATTCCAAGTTGACTCACCCCTTGGTGAGCCACTGGAGGGAAAAAATAGAGAAGGAAGTGGCCATTCCAAGTTGACTACACTTTTAAGTGAGCAATGCAGGGGTGAAATTTGGAATACGCAGCAACATTCGGGAAAGGGCCTGTGTGCGCACTTGATTCCCCCCGATGGGGTGTGTGCACGCTGAGTCAACAAGTGTGTGCGCAGATGAGGCACAAGTGCTGATAAAATATGCGGCGCCGCCCTTCTGTGAGCCACCCGAATGTACAGTAGTAAAGTTTAGAGCGCAGAAAGCCATTCCATTCTAGCACGCCAGTAAAATTTTGAAGAGGTGAGGCGACCGTAAGGCCCCGGGTCCTTTGGTCCTCTTTTCCCCTGGCCTCTGGATCTGAACCTCTGCAAGATTTAGTGGGTCTCTAGACTCTACACCTCTACACTCCAGATCTGTCTGGATGTCGAGGCCTTTGGATGTCCAGCTTACGGAGCTGTGCTGCCTGCAGTGGCCAGTGTCGTCAGCGCTGTGCTGCTGGAGGTGGCCAGAGTGTTGTGAGCACTGTGCTGCTGCAGGTGGCCAGCTTACGGACCTGTGCTGCCTGCAGTGGCCAGGAAAGCTGCAAGTTGACTCACCCTTTGTTGCACCACCCGAGGCTAAAATTTGGAGAAGGATGTTGCCATTTCAACTTGACTCACCCTTTTGTGCACAGGGTAAAATTTTGAGAAGGAAGTGGTCACTCCAACTTGACTCACCCTTTTGTGGCCAATGCAGGGGTAAAATTTAGAGAGGGAAGCGGCCATGCCGAGTTGACTCACCCTTTTGTGGGCCACGCAGGGGTAAAATTTAGAGAAGGATGTTGCCATTTCAACTTGACTCACCCTTTTGTGAGCCACCCGAGGTTAAAAATTAGAGAAGGATGTTGCCATTTCAACTTTTTGTGGGCCATGCAGGGGCAAAATTTAGAGAAGGATGTGGCCCTTCCAAGTTGACTCACCCTTTAGTGAGCCACCCGAGGCTAAAAATTAGAGAAGGATGTTGCCATTTCAACTTGACTCACCCTTTTGTGGCCATGCAGGGGTAAAATTTAGAGAAGGATGTTGCCCTTCCAAGTTGACTCACCCTTTGGTGAGCCACCCGAGGGTAGAATTTAGAAAAGAAGTTGCCATTTCAACTTGACTCACCCTTTGTGAGCAATGCAGGGGCAAAATTTAGAGAAGGAAGTGCTCATTCCAAGTTGACTCACTCCTTGGTGAGCCACTGGAGAGTAACAAAAATAGACAAGGAAGTGGCTATTCCAAGTTGACTACCCTTTTAAGTGAGCAACGCAGGGTGAAATTTGGAATACGCAGCAACATTCGGGAAAGGGCCTGTGTGCGCACTTGACTCCCCATGGTGGGGTGTGCGCACGCTGAGTTAACAAGTGTGTGCGCAGATGAGGCACAAGTGCCGATAAATGTGTGTGCGCAGTTGAGTTGAATCCGTGTGCGCGGCTGCGGCGCCGCCCTTCTGTAAGCCACCCGAATGTACAGTAGTAAAGGTTAGAGGGCAGAAAGCCATTCCATTCTAGCACGCCAGTAAAATTTTGGAAGAGCTGGATCTGAACCTCTGCAAGATTTTGTGGGTCTCTAGACTCTACACCTTTACACTAGATCTGTCTGGATGTCGAGGCCTTTGGATCTTTGTAGATGTAGGCGTCCTGTTCTCAACCGTGACCTCTTGAATCTCCAAAACCTGAAACACCTTATCTTTTGAATTCTTGGCAATTTCGAACCGAACACAGAGGGCAGAGGCCGACCGTTGTAGTGGATAAGTTGGTCTCGACCCAAGGGCCCTACAGGACAATCCAAGGTATCCGTGTAGGTTGATTTAGTTTTTGTTTTTTTGATGCGTTTTTGTTTTTCTTTTGATCACTGCTTCGAGTTGGACTATTGCGCTTCCCTCCACTCGTTTGGGTCCGTTTATTTTTTTATTGATTCATTTTTGTTTTTTTCTTGATACCCTGAATTATATTTGTTTTTTGATGCATTTTTATTTTTTTTTTGATCCCTTGCCCCTTGCCCAGGCTCGATTCACAGACCTTCTCAGGTTCGGTACGACTGGACCCGAACGGTTCCTGGCAGGGCACCGTAGCCGGTAGCCACAGTGTCGAAGACATGACCGTACCTGAGCAGGTACGACTGGATTGGAATTGGTTCTGGGTCCAGTCTTACCAATCTATGGAAGGGAAGTCCCGTTCGTTGCACTACTTGCAGAGAGGATGATTTTGATTCTGTGCGTTAGTCATTCTTGGTGAGGTTGCATTTCGTCAGGTTTCCCCAGTGTTCTGATTAGTTCTGAAGTCGTTTTGTCCGACGGAGTCCATGGCCTGCGGGGTTTGGCCTACAGTGAATGCAGATCAACATGTTCCTAGGCAATTGTGCAGTAAACCTCACTTCTGCCAGGGCCCCCGGATAGGGGTGGTTCATGGATACCCCTCAACCTCTAGCTCTAATTCGACACCCCTCAACCTAAGGGGGGTACTGGTACTGGATCATTCTTTGGAGTCACATGGAGTGCCTGGGTGGTGCGTCCCATCCGTGACGTGATCCGACGAGCACCCCGAAAAACCAGCACCTGCTGATCCCGAGTCCGCAGCGCGTCGGTCGAACGTGACTGGTGGGATGCGGCATGCGGTGTCCCATCTTCCGTGTCCCACCTTCCGTGTGGTCCATTGGGTCTGTCAGACGGCCACCTGACTCCGCCTGGCTGTGCCGTGAAGAGGTTGTGTTCTTGGTTGTTGTTGACAGTTTGGTTGCAGCTTGGAAGCTCTTGTGTTTTT